AGCCATTGTATTAGGCGCTAGTTAGTTAAATGTTTGATCAGTATGGCCCAGGAATGATGTTATAAATATCAAAATGGCCCTCAGTAGAAAAAAGGTTCCCCATCCCTTCTGTAACGGTAGAACCTTAGACGTTCCTGACGGGTGGCATGGGCAGGAGCCAGGAAGTCTGCAAGGCAGGGGCCCAAGTCACTGGCTGTTTGCTGTGCCGCCCCTGCTGTGGTCCTCACTGGCCTCAGAAGCATGATCAAACAGCCCTCTGGGTGGTCTTCTGGGCCACTGCAGGGGGCGCCATTTAATTTATGCGCGACAACACGGCTTACCATAAGCCACTCAGCTTTTTCTGGATACCACCGGATGCATACGTGGTGGCGTCACCCTGAAGGAGAACTCCACTCCTCTGAACTCCCCAGCACCCCGGCTCCGAGTCTGCGGAAAGAGGCCTGGGGAGAGTGGGAAGCTCATCCAGAAAGTTTCAGTGCAAACATCTGTGGAAAGAAGATTAGATGTACGTGTACATAAAATATTCTTTCAGTGCATGTTATATTCTTTCCTTGGTGCGGGCTTTTCAATTTCCGTTTTCTCCCTGGTGGCTGGCTGTATTTGAAAGATAAAAGTGGAATCTTCCAGGACGACCAGAGAGAGAAAGTGAATGGGCCAACAGGCCATGTGAAGGAAACCACCATTAAGTTCCACATTGAGGCTTTGAGGGCTGACAGCAGGGAGGGTTCGTGGGTCACCCTGGCCAGAGAGGTTGCGGTGGTTACATAATGTTATCAATTTGAGACTTAAGAGTGAAGGGCTGGGGTTTAGCCTGTCAGTCAGACCGCAGCTTGATGACCTCATTTGGAGGTGCCAAGGAGATAAATATCTTGCTGGAGGCCGGACACATAAACGCTCTCCATGAGACATTCCCGTAGAGAAGATACATGGAGTTACACTAGAGCCCTGGAGCTGGAGGAGCCACGTGGAGACCTCTGCCAGTGCTGAGATGCTTCCACTGCCACTGGATCCACAAGACTTTCCATCCACTCGCCTGTGATCTTCCTGCATTCAGTATCGTTGCATGTGTTGCGTGAGTCTGAAGAGGACTTTACAGATTGGTGTCGGCATATGGGCTAATATTGAACATAAGGACTGGATCTGGACTGCGCTGGGATGTTTTCTCAATATTCAATTGCTCTTGGATATAAAGCTCTATCTTATGAGTGTCGATGAATTTGTTTCTTTACACGGACTTACACAGAAGTGAAAGGGGCAGTCAACTGCCCTCCTCCAGTCTCCCTTTTCACTGGGCAGTGAATACAGTCTTCCCTGTTTTATAAATCACCAAGCCTGTCACGAGAGGACATAATTCGCTCTGATGGTGGCCTAGGATAGAGCCAGAAATCCCATTCTGTTTATTACCAGGACTTTCATCCCCCAGCCCTGCCCTGCTCAGCCTGACTGACTTCTATCTCGGGAAGAGCCAAGGAGTAGCCCTAGAGGCTCTCAAAGTAGCAGGTGCAGGGTGGAATGGAGAGGAACAGGGTGGGCAGAGGCCAGTGGAAAATATCTTTGGGAGGCTAGGGAGCCCCCAAAGCTGATGAGCGAGAGAAAGGAGATGGTGAGTAGGAGGGGCTAGTGTCTGAGGGCGCCGACTGGAATCCACTGAGACAGAGAGATACAAGCAAGACCAGATGGACTGGCATTCGGTCAAACCAGATGGCGGGCTCTTATTTTTAAAAGGATTTGTAAACCCTAGGAACAAGGAACCATAAGGGTAGTGGGGCCTTTAATCCCATTAGAAGAAGACAAAAGCGTACTCTTTAAAAATGTAAACTCACCAATTATAGATAGCACTTTTGTTATCAAAGCGCCGTCACAGACTACCCATTTCTGAACCGCCCAAGCATCACCAGTGTTCCTGGGAGGGGGGAGAAACTGCAGAAACGTGACTAGGAAGATTCCCCCATAAGAAGTTACAGGGAACGTACGGGGTGTTCAGAACGTTTGTATGAAACCTTCCATGGGAGGTGGGAATAGAGGGACAGGTGCAGGTGCCATTTGGTGGATTATTTAGCCTGAGGACATTGAGTTTGTGGATTTGAGACCTTCAGCATCTCTCGCTTTCCAGGAAAGCAGTGGCGCCCACGTGCTCCCCTTCCGCCTTGGGACCTCGACTCGCCCACCCCGATTGTTGGGACATCTCAGCCCATAGTGGAGGGTCCCCCGTTCTTTCTGTCCCCCTTCTGAAGCAGGCCCGGCCTCGGCTGCATCGTGCGGAAGCTTGGTGTCCTGCTCGTGTACACACTGGGTGGAAACCACGAGAGTCGGCTTCTCTTCCGTGGCAGGCCGGCTCAGGGTTTGCTCCAGCGCTTCCCCGGGACTCCGTCTTCTGCACCTCGCTACGCCACTGATGCGCTGGCTCAGAAGAACAGCTTACCTCCCCCCGAGAAAACCAAAGACATGTAAAATATTAAGAGAAGGCTTTCACTAGTGTAGCTTACCACTAAGTCACGTCTCCGTTCCAAATATACAGATGTACCCTTTAAGTAACAGTTGGTGTGATTGTGCCACTACATGTTTATGTCTTTTCATAAAACATGGGGGCGGGGGGCGCTTCTAAAAGTGTGTGTGAAAGCTTCATTGTCTCATAATTCCATTTTCCCACAAACTCCCCCAAGTGCCTTGTCTGAGCGCCATGTCAACACATTGACTCTTGTTGTTTTTAATTGATAGTTTGTCCTGTTTCAGACAAACGTGTACTCTGCCAACTAGGCCCCCCTTTAACAATTTCTGCCCAAATTATTCAGCAGCCTGGGCACATTGTTCACAAGGCGGCATCATTCTCCTTCCGTTCCTTCTGGCTGCACTTTTCCCAATACTTGAGTTCACCTGCCCCCTCCCCTTCTTTGGTTTAAGGTAATTCCCCCCACCCACACACACACACAAAGGCTTTATTGAGATATAATTCACATATCATACACTGCCATTGTTCATTCTTGTTTCAAGAGTTGCATATGCATTGCCATAGTCAGTTCTAGAGCATCCTTCCCACTCCTGTATTCACTATTTGCTCCTGATTTCCCTTTACCACCACCACCCCACCCCCCGTCTCTGATAAGCCATTGCACCAATTATAGTCTCTGGACATGCACCCTTTATTTGCTTCAGACTGGCAAATACACCCCCCAAAAGTAAAGATACTTTTAAAAAGAAAGGAAGGACCGCCAGCCATCTTAAAACAAACAAACAAACAAACAAAACCCTCCCTCCAGATAAACAAGGAGCACTTAAACCTTAACAAACCCGGAGTGGTCAGGAGTGATCACCGTCTACTAATTCCATCTGCCATAATCACTTTACAGTAGTTTCTGTCTGAGAGCAAGGCGAGTTTGGACCCTGAACTGTGGTCAGGGGGGATCCAACAGAGGCTGAATCATGTAGGGAGCTTGCAGGTGGATTTGGGGTTCCCAATGCCATCCATAGCCTTCTGCAAACAAACCAGGTATTCACAATTTAAGCTCTGACACCTTTCCTTCCTTTTATTTGGATTTTGTTGTTTACCGTCTTTGGAACACGCGCACTGGTGTGCTTCTTCCATGTGGATTTAGTTGAAGCCTCACTTCGATGCCTGCTGGTTTGAATGCAAGCCTTTAAGACCCCCCACAGTGGTTCTTTTTGATAGGTGGGCACCATCTGGTTTCTTCACTGCACTTTGCCGTAGCTCCCATATCTCTTCATGAGGGCAAGCGTCAAGCCGGGGCCATGTCATAAGAACTAAATGTTTTTGCATTGGTGCTAGAATCGAGCGGGAGCCCAGAATCCATTCATTTGTCCACAGATTATGTACAACTCTGGTTCACTTTAGAGGCCTCAGACTCATTTTATGACAAAGAGCATTATCAAGCATCCCCCTGGGGCATAAGGTGATTCTATTGATGGCATCATTATTTTACTCAATGGCTTAGAATTTAACATACCGTTGAGAAAATGAGGTTATGCAAGTATAGCCCAGTTCCAAGCCCCAATCTATGAGTGGTTGATTTATACAGGATGAACTCTGAAATGATTAAACTCTATTTACATTGACAATGGGCATTGATACGAGGAGAACATTTCCAGTAATATTTATTTATAAGGGCAGAACCTTGCCGATTAGATTTACAGATGTCATAGTAAAGTAAGGAAGGCATTAAATAGTAAAAATATGGTGGTTCTAGTAGTTCACCTTTCATTGGATGCCCACACAGCCAGAGATCCTAGCCAAGGTCCTCTGACCACCAATATCACAGCCTCGGGGTGGCCATCGTTTGTTTTTCTCATGACTATTGGTCTTAAGTCCAAGGCCTACAGGTGATTTTGAGGTCAAGCCCAGTTCACTCAGTGGGGTTTCCACCTTGAGTCCTGGTATGGCCTATGAGGGATGCCAAGTTCTCTGAAAGGACAGAGCCTACGGTCATCATAACACAAAGCACAGGGCGTGGGCCTCTGATGAGGTTTGGGTAGCAAATGATTCAGAAGAGCCTCATCAGGAGCATAGGGCTGGGCTATTCTCCCCCTGGGGGGGTCTATATAATTGTTGATGCATGTCCCTCCCCCTTGTGGGTTTAGGGTCATTTTTTGCCATCTGGTTTATGATACATAATTTTTATTAAAGAAGCTCTTTGTTCATGGGTGATGTTCCTTTTGTTTTATGAACCAATCTTATCATTTAACTGAAAAGTGACCTCAACATTAATTTTGATTTTTAGCTTTACAGTGTGCTTCAGGGTCTTGGTCAGCTAGAACCCTCCATCTCTACCGAGTGAGTATGTCTGTCCTTCTTGACAATTTGAACTCGGCTCCACACTTGACTCCTGTTGTTTGAGGATCCACCGACCATGGCTCTGATCGAAACAGTCAGTAGGCATAGCTGGGCCCCATCTAGTTCTGTTAGTCTCAGTGATTTGTGTTTGGCTGTTGGTCCTGTACACTGCTTTCTTCCATTGACTGGCTTTTGTGTACCTTTATCCATCAAGGTATGGGAACCTGACAAGCCCAGATTGTGACGAAGATGGAAACCAAACTTCCTCAGAGGCCAAGACGGTGATTAGGAAGTGAGTAGATCATTTCTCTGCCTGACACGCTCTGTCAAGATTAATATTTTAACCGATTGTAGTTTAGTTGGACTTCATTTATTCCTTTAGCATGTTGCCTTGGTTTCTCCCCATGTTGAAGAACATAGAGGCATGCAGTTTTATACATCCAGTGTACATGTATTGAGCACGCATTCCAGACAGTAGGCTGTGGGATGCAGCAATGAACCAACAAGTATGTCCTTGCTCTCATGAAGCTACCGGTTTAGCAGAGAGGAGTGAAGAATGCGTGCAGAACAGGGGTGGGGAGAAGAAGGAAGCAGGGCAGAGGGCTGGATCGTGCTGGGGGGATGCTTCCTCAGGGGGTCCTAGCAGTGGGCACTGGAGCAGAGGGCTCAACCGGTGTGTCCTGAGCACGGTGAAGAGTTGCAGGAAGAGGGTTACAAGCAGAGAGGAGGGGGTGGAAAAGGCTCTAAGGCAGCACCTTTGAGAAACCTTAGAGAGGAGAATATGGCCAAAGCAGAGTGAGTCTTCAGAGATGCGGTGTGGAAGCTGGTGACGAGGCCAGACCGCTGGGGGCTCTCTCGAAAGTCCGGAGGAGGACACTGCACTGCACGAGGAGGGAGATAACAGAACCTCACGGGATTGCGGGAAAGCAATGCTACAGCCTGACTGACGTTCGGAAAGAGTTTCTCCGGGACCTTGGCTGTGGCAGTGAGGGTGAGGGCAGAGGAAGGAAGTGCTTGCAAGGGTCCAGGTACGGGGTAACAGTAGCAGGGACTCACATAGGAGAGTGTAGGCGCTCGGTTTGTGGAGCTATCGTGGCCGTGCTGCAGGCAGTATTTGCTGATGGAGCAGATAGACTGTGAGACGGAGAACAGGCAAAGTTGCCTCCAAAGTGTGTCACTTAAATAGCTGACAAAACAGAACCTGGCTTTAAGAGAGAAAGAAGACTAGTGGGGGTGGGGGGGCAGGGAAGGACAGTGATTAGTCTTGTACATGCTAATGTTGAGGTAATTGGATAAATGAGTATAGATATCAGGGAACAGATTGGACTGGAGTATGCATTTTATAAATTTTAAACATAGTATTTAAAACCTTCGATTGAACATGATCTTTTAGGGAGTAAGTGTAGATCGAGAAAAGGTAAGCCCTTCCCAGGCATTAAACAGTTTTCACAAAGCCGCCAAACGCATTGCCATCAGGTCATAGCAGTACGATAGCACTGCCCCCTGTGCGTTTCTGAGGTCGCGCATCTTTATGGGAGCAGAAAGCTTCGTCTTTCTCCCAGGGAGCAGCTGGTGGGCTCGAACTACTGGACTTGTGGTTAGCAATCCAAAGCATAACCCACCATGCAAGCAGATGTCAAACATCCTTTCCCAGTTAGTAAGGCTGAGGATCCACTGGGGAGGCTGGGAAGAAGCAACCAGGGAGGGAGGAGAAGGAAGAAATTGTGTTCCAGCAGATGAGTCAAAAGGGCATGGGGGAGGGAGCGGCCCCATTTGCCCACAGATCAGGCAAGAGCTTTTGGGAAGTGCCCACTGGCTTTGTCAGTGCTAAGACCCCCAGGGGCTCTTGGTGAATGCAGTTTGGGTGGGTGGAGGTGGGGACAGAAAGTCTGGCAGCTCTCTGGAGAAGTTGTAAAGCGGAACAGAGAAATGGGATGGAAGCTGGTCTATGGGCAGGGAAGCTGGTGTGTGTGTGTGTGTGTGTGTGTGTGTGTGTGTGTGTTTTATAATGGTGTTTTCTGAAGAGGGTACCTGAAGTCACTGGTGTTTCAATGTCCATTAGGGAGCAGGGGTCATGGCATGAGGAAGTACCGTGGAATTTTAACCCAGCAGAGATTTATGAACGAACTGCTTTCCTTTAGGAGCTCGGAGGGAATCACGGGTTAGAAAATTGGTATTTCTATCATCTTATTTGATGGACGGTGACTTTCCAGAAAATCAGACTAACTGCCCCGAGTGAGGAGCAGTTCCTTTTCCTGGAGAAGACCCCTGGGAAGACGGGGCTTTTGAGTCGGGCACGGAGGATGGCGAAGGTTTGGGTGGTAGCAGGAAGCAGCAGCAGTGGTTCCAAAGGAGGACGCTACACTGTTTAGGGCGCTTGTGGAACAGCACGTCATCAGCGTGGCTGCTTCATGGCATACATGTTGGGTGAGGGAAGTCAGTGCAGTGAGAATTAGGGAAGTAGGTTGGAGATATATCACGAAGGGGTTTCATTTCTTGGAGAGGTATACTGAAGGGGTTCCATTTCTTCCAAAAGAGTTTTGATTTGGACTGTTATGTGGTAGGGAGCCAATTGTGCAAAGGATTTACAGGAAGGAAATAATAGGATAAGGTTGCTTTTGGGGAAGGAATTAGAATTAAACCAAAAGCAAACCCCTTGACCTGGAGTCCATTCCAGTGCATAGAGACCCGTCAAACAAGGGAGAACAGCCCCGCGGGGTTCCAACGGCTGGGTTTTTTTGGAAAAAAAACAAACAAAAGCAAAACAAAAACAACCCTTTTTGTGTGTGAATTAAGTGAAGGGTAACAGATCAGACCATAGTTAGACATGAAGTGATTCATACACAGTTTGCTTCAGCTCATCCATTACAGTCCCGTCTGGTAAAGTGGGGGGGGGCAGCGAAGAAGAGGAAGATCCTCAGCAGATGGATTGACACGGTGGCTGCCACAATGGCTCAGCCCTACGAACAGTTGTGAGGGTGGGCAGGACCGGGCAGTGCTTCGTTCAGTCGGGCAGAGGGTCGCTGTGGATCAGAACGGACGCGGGGGCCACTTACCAACAACAGCAACCATACTCCGGCGCTCCCTCTTCCATCTGTCTGTTCAGAATGTCTGTTTAAACCTCGAGTCATAGATCACCACTATTGCAAGACTGGTGCCTCTGTTTTCTCTAACTTCACCAAACCTCCAAGGGTCTTCCTCGGCCTTCGCCATGTTTGCCAACCTCCGTCGTATTGTGTGTTGCCTGCTCCTGCACCCAAGCTAACACTCGTCTACCCCTAGCCCATGCCTTCCTCTCTCTTCCGTCTCCTCCCAGCTGGTGACCATCAAAGAGTGTTTTATGAAAACGTGGTCTTGACTCTCAGTAGTACTAGTCTCAAGCAACGTGTGTCCTTCTGTGATTGACTAATGGCACTCAGCATAATGTGCTTCAGGTTGGTCCAAGTTGTTATGGGATGGTTTGCAAATACCTCCTTCTTCATTAATGTTGCATAGTTTTCCACTGTGCATCTGACTAAGTTGATTTATCCATTTTGCCACTACTGGGCATTTAGGTTGTTCTCTCTCTTTTGTGTTGATGAACAGGGCTGTGCTTCTATTTATTCCTGCCGTGGCTTTTAATTCTCTAGTACATATACCAAGCAGATGGGCCACTGGGTCATATAGTATTTCTATTCCGTTTTTGAGGTGGATCCAAGGCTGTAGGCTTCATGGCAGCGTACTACCACATCTGCACCCCAGTCACTAACCTTTCCTGCATTTGCCACCGGGCACCGAACCACTGGGCCTTGTGACTCAAAATGTGGTTCAGGCATCAGAAGACCCAAAACAAACAACCAAACAAACAGAAAAACCATATTGTTGAGAACAAGGGGCATCTGAGCAGAGATCAAAAGCCCACCAGTAGACAATGGGACATCCCCTCACAGAGGGGTCACAGGGAAGGGATGAGTCAGTCAGGGTGCAGTAAAGCACACAATACTCCTCTGGTTCCTTGAGGCTCCCTCCCCGCCTCCCCCACTGTCATGACCCCAGTATTGCCTTTCACTTCGGGCTAGACCTGCACAGGTACACATAAGACATAAGACATAAGATCTCATGACACACAGAATCCAGGAACAGGAATGGGAGTAGTGGTACCAGGAAGGCAGGGGGAATGTGGGGAGAGCCGGGGAGGAAGGGGGAACCGATTTCAATGATTGACACATAATCACACACACACACACCCCTCCAGGAGGATGAACAACAGAAACTGGGGGAAGGGAGACAGCGTTGGTGTAAGACATGAAAATAATAATAATTTATCAAGGGACCACGAGGTGGGGCGGGGGGTGGGGGGGGTGGCGGTAAAAAAGAGGAGCTGACACCAAGGACTCAGTAGGAAATACATGTCTGGAAGATAATGATGGCAACATATGTACACGTGTGCTCAATACAGTTGATGTGTGGATTGTTACCAGAACTGGCACAGCCCTCAATAAACGTGTTTTTAAGGTGGCTCATGGGCCAGCAACACCAGCTTCACCTGGGAGCGTGGTGGAAAGCTGAGGGCCGTCTAGACCTGAAAGGTTCGGATCTGCATTGTAACAGGATCCCCCAGTGATTCCTATGCATCTTGAAGAATGAAAACACGAGATTACAGGTTTATTTTTGTTTATTCATGAAAACTCATGGAAGTTCTTTTTTTTTTTCCCCAAAGTCCCTTTCATAATGTGTATTTTTTAAATGTATACAAAAGAAGAGATACTGAGTTAAGTGGCCAGCTGGTCACCTACGACCCAAGCCTGTGACCAGATTCAGGGATACCGGGCCCGGTATTGCAGTGGTTAAGCACTCCACAGCAAGCCTAAAGGTCAGTGGTTTGAACCCACCCCTGCCTCCGTGGGAGAAAGATGTAGTGGTCTGCTTCGGAAGAGAGCTGCAGCTTGGGAAACCCTACGTGTATGTCTGCTCTTTCCCATCGAGTCGTTGTGCATTGACATCGACTCCCCTGGTGATTTCTTTTTAATTTGTCTATTTTGGAACTAAGTCAAACCCAGAGGTATGATTCATCTAGCCACCTGAGCATTCTGACGAGAGCAGCATTCTGAAAAATGTCCAGGCCTTTTTGGTTTCCCTGGGGGTGTGTAGAGATTAAATAGGTTTGGGGGAAATAACAGTGAAGCAAGTGGATTATATTCTGGTTGTGTTCATTGTTTTTAAAGGCCCATTAGAAGATGGCATTCAAATGCATCCTACACCAGGAACACTACCGTGGGTGAAACTCCAGAATAAGCTGTTCTAGAGGCTTGA